AGCTTTGTGGTCCTATATCTGCTAGAACCACACTATATAAGTTTGCCAGATCGGGTCGCGTTTCTGTAGTTCGAATGAGACGTAAGAAAACTACAAATTTGACTTGCTTTACGGCAAGCGTTACAATTGGACATTATTCACTCTAAAGCCGGTGCTGGATAAACAGTGGATAAACAGCGAGCATGCGTGCGACAGTAGGCTGTGGTAGGCTAAATTATTTACGACAGCGGTAACGGACAATGCTGCTTCGAACCTGAAGGGGGACCGCAGAGGAAAAGTTCTTTAGTGTTGCTTTAATGTTACTATTGTTAGCCAGGGGATTTCATATTGAAACATGCCTTGTAAACAGCTAGCTAACAAATTCTTAATTGCAGTATCTAATCTTATCATTTGTTCAAATAAAACATTGCATATCACTTCCAAAACAATTGATCTGCATAATTATTGATATTTACAGTTAATTTGAATATTTACTTTTTACTTTCGGTACTTGAGTATGTTTTAAATCAGATACTTTTGTACTTTTACTCAAGTGATGTTTGAATGGAGGACTTTCTACTTTTACTGGAGTAATTTTTTATTTAGGTATATATACTTTTACTCGAGTATAACTTTTGAGTACTTTTACCACCCCTGCTAGTTTAGTAGTTTTATACTGCAAGAGTTTTGCTCGGCGTGAGATTTGTTGACGGGGGGGGGGGGGGGGGGGACAAGTGAGATTTGTTGTTTGGGGGGGGGGGTCTCGCTCGCGCAAGGTCTCTCGCTCGCTCTACGCGGTTTGGAGCACAATCTCTGTCTCGCATGCACGCTCGCTCTAGATAGCGGGAGATTTTTAACGAATTTGCGTATAACTAGTCGATCACGAGTGGCTCAACAGGTAGATATATAGATAAACTCATCTTCCAGGCATTTGACCGACCGGGTTGACACTTCAGCGTGAGAAATCGGGAGTGTGGCGTGTGAGCGTGTGAAACCAATCAAATGCGGGTGTCTCACGGCCAATGCGTGAGAGTTGGCAGCTATGCTGCACGTTTTCTTTTAGTGTACTCTCAGTAAACTGTTTAGTAGTTTTACAAGTTTTCTTTAAGTGAACTTAACATTATACTTATAGTTTACTATTTATATATTATTTTTGCACTTGCAGTAGGCCCATACTACTATGTTCAAATGTTATTTTTTTTATACTTGAAAAATACCTTTAACTGTACTTTAATTAAAAAACAAAAAAACATTTTATTAGCTTCATGCATCCTTTTTTATCAACACTTGAATGTTGGTAAGTTTCATACAGAAAGGCAACATTTTAAACAAAAACGTTGAGAAAATCTCATTTTTGTCAAAGACTAACGTTACGCCTTGATCAGATTCAGAACGATGATCAAAACACAGATGGAGTAGATCGAGTCCAACACCTCCAAAGCTTCACAGTCGTTTTCTCTTCATGTGTTACGCTTCGTTTCATTTGGAAACATTAAGCAGTTTTGATTTACACGCTGTTTAATGTTTGATGATCACGTTATTTTACATTTAAGTGAGCAATCTTTCAGCTTCTTCTTCTCCTGTGTTTTGATTTTGATCCGGAGATTCTGTACTAGAAGATGTGTCATAGCGCCCCCTACCGTATAACAGTGAAAACATGGATAGCTGGGGAAAATCAGAGCCTTGGCACTTCCTATTAGCCCCATTGTGTATCATCTTGGTTGCAGTTCCATTTGAATTCCACTGGAGGTGATCGCAGGCGAGTGCAGAATGAATGGGAGTCTATGGAGCTAAACGGCTAAATGTATGTCTTTCTCCTGCTTGTCGTTGAATCAACATAGATTTTATTGTTGATTCCGCAAGTTCAATATAGATTATAGGCCAAAAGTCAAATAAACGAGTACTTATGTCCTTTCGATTTCTTACAGGTTAGGCCATTGTTGGCCGGAACACGCTAGCATTCTCCTATTATGTGACGTCATCACATTTTTTAATGGATTTTTAGAACAGATAAGTGAACTTAAAAATGCAATTTTCAGCTGAGTGTATTATCCTAGCCCTCCCTTTTGAATGCAACTTTCAAATTACTTGAAAAAAAATTACATCCTGAGAAAAGTGGATTTCTGGGAGTGAAACCCCATAGACTCCCATTCATTCTGCACTCGCCTGCGAGCGCCCCCGCAATGGAAAGAGACGTGTTACTGCAGCCAGTCCAGAAACCGGAAGTAACCAGACAGTGCCAATTCTCTTCAATTAGACATTGGCTGTGTCCAAAATCTCCCACTACTCACTATATAGTGGACTATATAGTGAGCTCGCCATTTTGTAGTGCTGTCCGAATGTATTTGATGATTATTATACCCTATATAGTCCACTCAATGTATCCCAGAATGCATTTTGAAAAGTAGTGTACAACCGATGGTCACTAACCCAAGCCCTACATTCCATCATGCATTGCGCTGATCGTAAAAATGGCGGATGGACGTCAAGGAGAGCAGCGCGACAATACGAATTTGTCATACAAATGTAAGTTATGTTCTTTCTCGTTTAACTTAGTAGTAGTTTGACGACGTCTCGCTAGTGTAGCAAGAACAGCACGTCGTTTTCTGTGTCTAGAAATCCTGTTTATTTTGCTAATCCGCAAAATCTTCTGAATCACGAGAACAAACAAACAAAAAAGATACATATTGAGTGGCATCTCCACAGAGTCTAAAAGCTGTTTTATTAAGAGTATTATGAGCAAGATATTTGATAACATAGATCTGTTTTTTTTTCTCCTAATGTCGACAGGCAAGAGAAAACGTTGTGGCGCGAAAATGAAAATATATGAAATATGTGTATTAATTTTATTTATGTTTATAAGTTATAATCATGTGTGGAGTAACGCATTATAACAGAAACGGCCAGAAATGACTTTTAATTTTACAATTTTGGAGAAATAAGCTCAATATAATGTAATGTATTTATAAAAAAAAAAATCTATTTAGCCCAGAGCTGGCTCGGCACCAGCTGACAGATGATGGCGCGTTTAAATAGTGCGACAGTAATGGCGTAATCAACGGCGCCGAGAGACGATCGAGTAGTGTCCGAAAGTGGTGTTTCTATTATGCTGGTGAGCTCACTATATAGTGCTCTACTCCCTACTCCCTACATAGGGGTTAGGGAGTAGTGGTTTGAGTGGAGATTTCAGACACAGCCATTCTTTGGGAAAATTCAGTCAATAGGCCTATTTCAAAAAAATGGCCGCCAAGACCGGAAGTAGGGAAAACTCTTTTCCGGTGAAAGCGCTAGGCAGTTGCAGTCGGAGGACAAATGTGGAGACTAAAAGCGTCCAGTCCTGTTGCGTACCTTTTTATGTTTCAACTCAAAGAAAAAACAATAATATTTATCACTTCACATTTTTCTGTGTTTTGCGGGTTTTCATGGAACAACTGGGGTGAAGTTAAATCACGCCAGACACAGACGGCAAAAAGACGTGCGTGGAGGAGGAAGCAGATGTCTATTTTGAGAATGAATGGCGATCGTAGCGGGCGGCGGCGCGACCAGAAGTATCGCTACCCTACCATTTTGTGAAATAGGCCTATGGTGGGGAAAGAGTAAAGTAGAATTAAAGTAAATTCTTATGTACACTACCAGTGGATTAGCCTACACAAAAATTCAGATTCGCAGAATTAGAAACATATCTGTTTTGTATCAATATTTTAATCAATATTTTCAAACAATGTAAGTTTCATAAGACTGTATATGAAAAAAAGTATATTTAATAGGCTACTCGATCAAAAGAGTTAACACAACCACACGCCAAGAATACTTTGAATACTTAATTATACTTTTAAGTATATCTCGATCAACAAGTATACTAATAGAACACTTGAATAAATGTATTTTCCGTAAGGGTTATTATCGCGGTGTACAAGATCAGATTCAGTTCCATGCTTATTTTATTTACTCTATAAGCTATTCCACCCGAAAGCTTGTTACTATATAAACTTGAACATGTTAGTTTATAAGACAGCGTGTAATATTATGTTTTTAAAAAAGTATTTAATAAGCTACTCAATCAAAATATTAAACACAAGTACAAGCCAAGAATACTTATACTTTTAAGTATATTTCAATCAACAAGTATAGGCCAAATATACTTAGACTTTTCTGTCAGTATAAGTCAAGTAAGTGCAATTTGAAGTATATTTCTGAGAAGTAAATAAAAAGTAGACTGAAAGTATACTTTCTTATTTTTTTAGTTTAAAAGAAGTATACTAATAGCCTACTTGAATAAACTTCTTTTTCGTAAGGGTCACCTGCACTAAACGTTTATTGTTGTTTTTAAATGATGATGACTGGATGGTTAATATAAAAAGAAAAATAATTTTAAAGATGCATTTCATTACCTTAAAGTGCTTAAATAGACACTTGCAAAAACAGTAGGACACTTTTTAAACATTTTAAAAACAGTTAAAAAAGTTATTAAACCCGCCAAATTATTACCCCCCATTCCATTGGTAGATGTAGGATTTAGGATTTAGGCAAGGCAGTAACTTGGCCTATTTAGTTTAGAAACCCGTTACCCCCTCGATTCCACACACAATGTCTTGACCCAAATTCACTCCAATGTCTTTATTTTATATATCCTAAAATTAAAGCATATTTCTCTGTGAACAGCAGGTTATCAGCATAACAAAATACTCCACATACATACTATAAGAAAGAAGGATTTTATTTGAACTCCATCGCGAATCTACCAAAAACGCGTGCAGTGTTCGACCTGCGAGAGAATCTCTCTGGGAATGGGAACACCCTTCAAAATCTCTCCTATTATATCAGCAACATAAACCCAGGTGAAACAGACGAAGTGCTCTGTATGGTTTGCACAACCGGAAAACGTTCGATAAGCAGATAAGCAGCTCATTCTTTTTCTTGATCATACCGTGATCATCGAAACGTCGCGGGAATTTTAAGTGTTCCCTTTTCATCTTTTGGAGCCTATGTGTGCGTGTCACGAATAAGAAAAATGTTATTACCATAAACTCTGGCGGCTCTTTGATGTCATTGTTGGGTACGACGAGCAGAAGAATGCCAATGACTGCCAGAAACAAAGCAGCAGTAGCAGTAATGATCTGGCATTGCTTTTGGTTACCCGTGGATACCATCCTCGCGAAGCGATCCACACAGGACAAATGACAGAGACGACATTCGTTGGCAAGTCAGGCACTGTGACTATTGTGACGCCGTGTGTAAAATACAGGCGATAGACCGGCACCTCACAAGTGGGCATGGCACTACATTGTTCCTCGTCATGTGCCCGTGGTGCAACAGGTGTTCGCTGTGTGACTTTATAAAGTACACGAGTGAATTTATTCAAACGTGAAACGAGACTCTGGGGAGTTTATTTGATCCCTGTTATGCTTCTTTTTTTTATATTCTTATCTTAAGTGCTTTTCCAAACTTCAAAGAACCTTTTCATGGATGGTTCTACAAAGATCCTAATAAAGTGACATGGAGAACTGTTAGAGCCTCTTTTAAGAACTTAGAAAAGTGTTCTGAAGGTTCTTTTTGGCACTAGAAAAAAAAACTACGGGATAGCTGGTTTGCCATTATGCTGCGATCTCATGTTTTTGTTATTGACAGGTTGTCCCGCCCTCGCGTCGTTAAACATGTCATCAGAGAAGAGAAGAGTTGTCGGTATTTTCATTAAATAGTTTTGATTACGAGGGCAAATGAATAAAAAATAATGATGTTATTTTGTTTTTTTTCATGTTTAATGGGGACTTTCCATAGGCAATATAATGATTCTTACACTGTAAACTGTAGGCTATATTCTATCCCCTACCCCTATCCCCACCCATCACAGAAAACTTTCTGCATTTTTACATTTTAAAAAAAAACCAATCACTTATAATGTATAAGCTGTTTTCCTCATGGGGACAAAAGAATGTCCCCAAGGATTTCAGATATTGCCATCTTTGTGTGGACATTTTGTCCCCATAATGTAGGGTTTACAAGCAGGCCACACACACACAACACACACTCACACTTGTGTAATTGGATTTTTTTTTTAAATCAAAATCTATTGCTAAGATAAGTCTATAACCCCTGTGAAAACATTCCTGTGTGACTAGCCCCGCAATAGTAGGCTATACTATTTTATCAAAAAACATTTTGTGGTGTTGCAGACACAATGTCTGAGAGTCATTTGCATTAGTAGGAAGTTATGCATTGTGAGGTGGTTCATGCTGAGCCTGAGGTGTAACGTCTTTTTGTTTTTTTGACTTTGTGGTTAACGCTGATGTGAAAAGCAGATGTGTGAAGAGTTTTAAACAGATCAAAATGGCTGTGCACATCACGACATGTTGGGTTGTCACACAAGATCTTGAGGTTTTTAGACAAGGTTTATCTCTAAATGTTGCATGCAGTATGAATGTCAACAGGATGTGAAACAAATTACAAAAGCATTAAACACTGTCATCATGCTGAGTTGCAGGGGAAGCTACGAGCAGATGCAGAGTCATTCATCACAGAAACTGTGCTTGTGTTCCAAGAAGATTTATTTAATATTTATTTAAACAGGGCCTGCATTATACAAAATGAACACAAATTATAATCACAGATGCAATATTACATATTGAACAGAACTATTACAATCTAACAACTATTTATTCTCTATGGCAGATTTAAATTTACTGTACGCTACAAGAAGGCTGCTTCTGATGTACATCAATAGACTTTACATTACTACAGTATTTTTTCCTCTTTCTGTTAAGTTAATGATGAAAGTAATAATTACTTCTGAATCATTGTGCATGACACAGACCTTTTCTTATATATTAATTTCCCCTCTCTCTTACTCATATGTGCCCTTTGGAAGAGTGTGTCTATGTAAGCAGCTGTCACAGCTTTATTCAGCATCGCAGCTTCAGGCTCGTCCATATGAAGAAAGCCTCTGCTCATCCATATCAAACAGCACATACTCTGAACTGCGCTCCGGGTCCTGGCACATGTGGTTAACAATGAAACACTGGTAGTTCCACAGTAGAAGCAGTACCATGCCGGCCAATGCCAGCAGTACCATGCTGACCAGCAGGAGGCACTGTTTGTCCAGGCAGCAACCGTTCTGACAGCACTCATCCGTGAGATGTGTGTACTTCCATAGAGACTTCTTCAGCAGCACACATCCCGAGCCCTGATGTGGATACAGAGACACGGCGAGATCTTTTGTTTGCTCTGTACTCATTGTACGGGAAGTACTCAGAGATTCATGCAAGATGCTTGCTGTGGGAAAAACAAGCGGTAGGGCCTCAGAGATTAAATGAATATTGCAGTTCATGTTGCACAGGCCTGACTAGGCCTTTTGTTTTGTTTATCATTTGTGCAAACATAATCTTTTTAGATATAGAATTAATCCGTGGTTGGAAGAAAATAACTAAAAATAGCGATGCTACTACATATAATAAGTGTTTTTCCCCAGTAAACTACGGTTAAGAGAATAGGTTAAGATAAGAGTAAGAGAAGAGGTTAATATGATGTTCTCTTAAATGTTGCCTTGCAACGTCTGATTCAATGTAGTGAATTAGTTCGTCCAACATGTTCTCTCTCTCATGTAGGCCTACGGGTTAGAGTCCCAATTCAGAGGCCGCATCCTTTAAAGGGATACTCCACTTTTTTTGGAAATAGGCTCATTTTACAACTCCTCCAGAGTTAAACTGTTCAGTTTTACCGTTTTTGAATCCATTCAGCCGATCTCCGGTTCTGGCGGTACCACTTTTAGCATAGCTTAGCATACATCATTGAAGTGGACAAGACCATTAGCATTTCTAAAAAAAAAAATGACCAAAGAGTTTCGATATTTTTCCTATTTAAAACCTGACTCTTCTGTAGTTACATCGTGCACTAAGACCGACGGAAAATGTAAAGTTGCGATTTTCTAGGCTGATATGGCTAGGAACTATACTCTCATTCCTGCGTAATAATCAAGAAACTTCACTGCTGTACCATGAGTGCAGCAGGCGTAATGATATGACGCAGCGCCTGAAAATAGGCCACCTTCCGTCAACACAACGGAACTATTTTCAGGCGCTGCGTCATATCATTACGCCTGCTGCTCTCATGGTACGGCAGTGAAGTTTCTTGATTATTACGCAGGAATGAGAGTATAGTTCCTAGCCATATCAGCCTAGAAAATCGCAACTTTACATTTTCCGTCGGTCTTAGTGCACGATGTAACTACAGAAGAGTCAAGTTTTAAATAGGAAAAATATCGAAACTCTTTGGTCATTTTTTTTTAGAAATGCTAATGGTCTTGTCCACTTCAATGATGTATGCTAAGCTATGCTAAAAGTGGTACCGCCAGAACCGGAGATCGGCTGAATGGATTCAAAAACGGTAAAACTCAACAGTTTAACTCTGGGGGAGTTGTAAAATGAGCCTATTTCCAAAAAAAGTGGAGTATCCCTTTAAACGCTGCATTTGAAGGCCGAATGCATCACAGCAGCGCGACGAAGGCTTCTTCGAATGCAGCCTATAAATTTATCCTTCGTTTGCAGGCCGCAAAGGATAGAACAGGTGGATCCTTCATAGCCATAATTAGCCAATCCCAAGATTCATTGCGCTTGGTAATGACTGGATTTCTTTCTTTTTTTTTTTTTAAAGAAAATGCCGGATTACCCTTTTAAATGTAAGTATTGGGTTTCAACTTACTCAAATATTTAACTAATGTAAACCGAAACAAAAAATTAAAGCAATTTTGTAGATAGCTAATACTTTTTATTATGTAGATAAATGGACCAAGGTGAACATATTTAGACAGGTCGTGAACCCTGTTTTGTTTTCAGACAGTTGAATATAACTTTCAAAAAAGTCTAGTACAAATGTTACTGCCACTCGACAATGGCAGCTGTCACAGTTGCTAGACCGTCCCATTTAACAATGCTTGGTTCCAACCTCTGTGGACTTTGAAGGCGCTGCCTTTGAAGTCTGTGTCCTTTGAAGGATGCAGCCTCTGAATTAGGTCACAGCTGTAGTGTTGGAACGTCTGATACATTCTACTTGATCGGTTCGTCCTAATGGTCCTCTCTCATATTTAGCCTAATGTTAAAGTGCAATTCATTCTAGTAAATCGGTTCGTCCAAATGTTCCTCTCACATGTAGGGTGCTTCTCAAACGGAAGGCTGAATCCTAGCAAGGCTGCATATCTCAGCTGCCATGTCATCAAGTGCCGCCGAAGGCCGTCTCAATTAGAAGGAGCCTTGGAAGGCAGCCTTCATTCAGCTCATTTTGATGGATGCATCTAGTGCAGGGGTGTCGAACCCTGCTCCTGGAGGACCACTGTCCTGCAGAGTTTAGCTCCAACTCCATTTAAACACACCTTAACCTGCCAATCAAGGTATTAGGCATACTAGAAACTTCCAGGCAGGTGTGTTGAGGCAAGATGGAGCTAAACTCTGCAGAACAGTGGCCCTAGGACTGAGTTTGGACAACCCTGTATACTGTCTCGTTAGAGTTAAGCCTCAGAAGGACACAGCCTCACTAGGATGCAGCCTTCCGTTTGAGAAGCATCCATTACATTGGAACGTCCGATTCATTATATCGAACAGATTCACAAAGATTGAATCACTGATTTGACACTCTACGGTATGTAGATATTTTCGACTTAGTTATGTAAATAAATTAGGTTGTTTTTGTTTAGTTATTTAGTATAATTTAGTATATTCGTATTAAATTATAATTGACATAAGTGTATAAGTTATATATATATATATATATATTTATAATAAAAAAACATTGCAACCTTGCTAACTTCAGTGCTAACTTTAGTTGTAGCTTGTAGTGCTTCAAAACTGTACTTTTAACAACTTAAAATTATGATTAACTTTCAAAGTAGCTTCCTCAACTCTTTATTTAATTGAATTAATTGTTCTTATATTGAGTTGGTGCTAAATCCAACCTTCATAAGCAAACTATATTTTGGTCAAGCTTTTGATAAACTAGAAAAACTTGTTGTGCTCCAAATGGATAAAACATCCTTTTGCTTCAGGTGCGTAGAGCCAAAGGAGTAATTACAAACAAATTTGCTAACCACACACTGAATTCAATCCAGACTAAAGAATTCGGTAGCACTTTAATTTAGAGTCCAATTCTCACTATTAACTAGTTGCTCATAAGCATGCATATTACTAGGATATTGGCTGTTTATTAGTACTTATAAAGCACATATTAATAC